CAAAGGGACAGTTATTAAACCAAATATCTTTAATTTATGATCTGGGGCAATCTGTTCTAGTAATAACAGCAAGGAATTCCTTATTAGAGTTAAGAAATAAATATTGAGTTTCCTGATATATCCTCAGCTGGGTGAAAATAGAACCATGCTCGAACCATAAAATGCGACTCTACTGGAGGTGTGCAAACAAACTGAGAAAAAAATTGTCTGCATTATCAGTGCTGCAGTTAACAGAGTGAAATCTAAAACTCTGATTGAATGTCACCATGCAAATGTATATGTGTGCATTCGAAATCACTTAGAGTGCTTGTTTCCTTGTTTAGCCTTACCATGCAATATTGATTTCAATATTATCAATATTTATTCCGTCTAGTAATAATAATTGACAGGCTACATATTGAATGGTAAACTAAAATTAAAGACCTCTTACAAGCACTCTTTAATAAAGCAAAGAAAACCTAAGGCCACTTGCAAAGTTAAGATTTCAATGCCATGTCAGCCTCTTTAAAATACAAGAGTTGCATAAATACAATAAAATAAATACAACAATTAAGAATATACAGTGTTTTACATTTACATTTAATACAAATTCTATGACATTTTTTCTGGTAAAATCTTACTAAACAAGTCCTTAACTGAGCTTACTACATAAAAATATCGTCTACTAGCAATAAAAGCAGGGCAGTCCAATAAAATATGTTTAATGGAAAGCAGGGTCTTGCAAAACATACATACAGTTAGGTCTTCACCTTTAAGCAGAAATGCATGAGTTTATCTTGCATGAGACTCAGACCAAAAAAAATCCAAAGCTAAGGTATTTAATTCAGCCAGAGACTGAAAAAAACACACTTATCATCTCAAAATTGATGGCCAAAATTGCTGGGTCCTAGAACACATAAATGTGAGCCTTTTTAAAAAACTGCAGTGAGTCATTTTAAAAGCTTCGTGATGGCGATGTTACTGTGCTGTTCTCAGCACTGCCCGCTAGACCGCTGTCAGCACTTCTCTGCTAATTGCCTCCATCAGTTAAAATCATTATGATCCCCTTTTATTCCGGCCCAAAATAGAAATAAAATCATGTTGCTCGGAGTCACAGACTGACCATCAGGAAGTCTCAATAGCTACTAATGAGATGCTACTCATGGTTGAAGGCTTGGTGTATGAGCGGTGTATATCTTATAGCATTCTATAGCTATCTATAGAATCTATCTATCTATCTATCTATCTATCTATCTATCATTTCACCACCTCCTCAAATATTACATCATGTCTTTTGCCCAGTATGCTGTGAAATGTGTTCCACGTTGTCCAGTGTCCCAGAGGAAACACTGACCTGCCCTGCAGACACCGAAATGTCACAGTCCAATTGTTGAGATGTCTTCTTCTCCTCTTTTCCTGTTACAAGCTATAGCTACGCTATTCTACACAGAGAGCACTGAGGCATGCACAGTTTCCCTTGTAGACATACAAGCTCACTCTAGGCTGAAATTCAGCTGTCAGTGACATGCCAGCCAACATGTAAATGAATAGGGAAATTACCTTCAAGATTATTTAAAAACCTTTAAAGTAACATTTAACTAAACAACGCCAGCAAGGAACCATTTGTAATTTAATAATATCAACCAAGACCATCTATAATACCTGGAGAGAGATATAGTATCAATGGTGTAATTATGAAATATACCAGCAAGGGCTAACTGGACCACACTAAGCAAATGAAACAATTGCAAGCGTTAATGTGTAAGTGGGTATGTGCAAGTTAACCTTGCAGTGAAATATTCTGATGATCTCATTGTCTTTATAATTCAATTCAGTTCAGGGTCATATTTCATCTCAACATCAACAGAACATTCTTCCAGAACCAGTTACATCTCTAACTTTATGACCTGCATAGTGTATCACTTCAAGCCCTGTATCTGAAGAAAAGAGACCAGCTGTCAGATTAAATCTGATAATCAACTCTTGCAATGTGGTTTTCACGCCTCCATTATTCCAGCGTGCGTTGCAGAATCTCCCCCTGCAGCTACTGACTAACAAATCAGAAAGTGCTTGATTGCTGTGTATTAACATGGAGAGAAGAGGAGGGAAACATTCCATCTAATCAACAGTAAGAGATGATCTTATTGCTTTATGAATTTATATAAAGAGATTTTACAGATGCAACGGCTCCTTCAAGATCACCACATAGGACATAAATGACAAATAAACATCATCTCAACTGTTTTTCCTAAACAGCATTGAGAAATTTCTATTTCTCGTGTGAAATAAATGCTGGTAATCTAAACTTTGAGTTTCTTAAACTGAGCTCAAATTTACCAAGACACCAAAGTCTATGTCAGAAATTTCAATATAAACTATTAAAATATATAGAAAATATTTTCCAACAAATTCATCCAGACCAAATTATCAGAGCTATCAATGATATCAGTTCTTACTTTAGAACAAAAGTCTCATTTGTATCAAGAAATAGTGTAATTCAGGTTTGACAGCACAATTAACAACTAATTTAATTACACTTTTCAATAGTATAACAGTAGTTCAACTGATTTCAAAATAGTGTTGCTTTTCCAGTAAGGACTTAATTTTTCCAACAACTAGCATTTTTTTGCAACCGTTTAACAATCAAGTGCATTGAACATATTGTTTTTTGTCATGTTCTGAAAATAAACCTCACAAAATTTTGTTAAATTTAAAATAAAAAAAAATGTCAATGGGTGAGAAAAAAATGTAACGAGTTATATTGTGTGAAAAATAACGTATAATATTTTTATGTATTTATTAATACATTTTTTCTCAAGTGATTTTATTGTTTTAATGAATATTAAAGAATATTACTTTGCTGTGCATTTTTTAAGGCAGCGCCCACAATAAATATTTGAGACAAAGATTGATCTCAAATATTTCCTAAGCTATTAAAAAAATCACATTTAATTTGGCAATGTTTATTAACGAGACCACCAAAACAACTAGAACTTCAAGGCATTTCTGCTTTTTTTTTTTTTTTTTTTGAAGTTGCCAGATTTTCATCTGCTGCCATATCTCTCCCTCTTTCTTCCAACATTACCCAGTCCCTCTCTCTCCCTCTCTCATGACTAACTAATGAGTCCTGGCATTGCTGTTGTCCCTGTGGTGTTATTGGGCTGATCTGTGCTCTCTTAAGGGTGTGCTGAGAGGTTGACTCTCTAAAGCAGCAGGAGGCCCACACTTCTCTTAAACAGCAGGGCTAAAGAGGTTTGTTTACTGGGTAACACCTTGGCCTGACCTCCCCGAGCCGCTGGGAGTTACTCTGTGATTAGTTCTGTGCTAGCCTGGAGCCGAAGACCCGGCGTCAAGTGGAAAGCCACTCTCTCCCCACCGCAGGGTGAATGATTGGGCAACTCGCGCTGTAATCAATCACCCTTTCTACCTCCGACATACCGCACATATACACATCCACCGGGAGAAGGATGGGGCCTCCTAAACTTGTTGCTATCTTTGTTGCTCTGCCTGAAAAGCTGCATGATTTTATTTAGAGTCGGCCTTTGACTCGATAACAGGAGATTAATTGTCGCTGTTGCTTCGGTTTGTCCTCAGTGGGTCTTTGTGGCTTTCGGTGCACAGAGAAAGGGTATACTGTACATGTATGTGTTCAAACATGATTTCCTCTATTCACTCCTGGTCTGCTACTGTTTGCCACTTGGCCCCTGTGGACGGGGTCTCATTATTGCGATGTGTATTCACATCTTCCACCTTTTGCCCAGGGTTCTCCTTCTCTTTCACTTTTCAGCTTTTCACTTACAATGAGATTTCTGTGACTCCTTCTCCTTTGGCATCCCTATTGGTCTGAAACTGGGCTTCACTGACCTAACGCTGCCCTCCCATCAAGACAAGAGACTTCAGAAAGAAAAATCACAAAAGTTATCACTTTTAAATCTCAGTGGTCTCTCCTAGACAGAAGCAATAAGACTAAATGGAGATCAAATGAAGACTCAAATGAAGAACAGATCTCAACAATTAGGGCTGCATGATTAATCAAAATCCAAAATTGTGATATGGCTTAATGCAATATCATATTGCAAAGGCTGTGATTTGATTAAATAAATACATATGCTGTGAAGAAAGGCTTTAATGGCTTCCTGTGGGCTTTCACCAAAATAAAAGTTTAATGGCTTAATGACTGAAAAAAATAATGAAATTAAGACAGCTATAAATATTAGCATTGTAATTTTAATGTTGTACTGTAAACTAAAATTATCATCTTTACACTAGTAATATTTCTTATTTCATTTAATATTTTTATTTAGTAGTAGTAATGATAATAATAATAAAGTTTATTAGTTGTTGTCATTTTATGATAATATTGATATTGTGAATATTGTGCAGTCATACAAACAAGCACAGAAAACCTGGAGCTTTTTAAATGTTTAAATCACATTTTAAATTGCAATGACAATTTTGATCAGAAAAACGTTATTAGAAACAATAACTCTCAAAAGTCTCAAAAGTCATTTCAAATATTTCTAATTATTTTTTTCCAAAACCAAATGATCCTATGCTATCCACCTTCTTTTAATAGCTTTATATTTTTCTTTTGTCAACAATGTGTCTCTTTTTATTTCTCCTAAACAAATCTGAAAGACAAAAAAAAAGTCAAGAAGTCTCCAGGGTTAAAAAGAGCAACATATGGAATATTCAACAGATTCTTTCTGCATCTCCAACATGCGAAAACAAGCTAATATCTTTTGGTTTGTTTTCATTCAAGGTAAAGCCAGTTGGAACATCATTTATTCACAAGGTCAAGTGGGTCGTTTTGAAAATGAGCAGCACAAGGTTGCTAAACCCCTAGTACAACAAAAAGCAAACATTTTGTATGAATTTCCAGGAAAAATAGACTTCAGAAACTGGAGGTCAAGCTCATTCTAGGCTAAACGCAGCAGTCGAGTGGGCAAAATCTCAGTTGATAGTCTGTTTCCTCTAATGATTCTCATTAAAGTTAATGTGTATGTTTGCATGCAACTTACCAATATGGCTGCGATGTGTTGAGGCCAGACTCAGCTGACCCCAGAGAGACAGCAGACAGATGCCCAACAGCAGCAATCTCCTGCCCACACGCTGCAGTTCCCGCTCCCGCATCCTACAATCACACACACACAATACCTGTTTATCCTTAAGCGAAATTAACATATGATTCAATGACATATGGGAAATAACACTCAGAAAACAGCTAATTTATCTTGAATACACTATCAAACACATGGAAATAAGTACTACGATTTAGTAATCCTATCAAATGGTAATTCTACTGGGGCTAGTTGTCACACAGGCTATATTCAGACTGCAGGCAGATTTTTTTCTCAGATCAGATCTTTTCAGTCAGACTGTCTGTACTATTAAAGTGCAAGTGATCAAATCAGATTTGTGTGTCCATACATAACCAACTTATCTGCATGGGCTGCTTTGGTTTCGATGCAGGTGTACCCACATTTTTGATGAGGCTTTCAAAACAGATGCTCAGTGAAAAACTCAGTGATGGAGGAGACTGGTATATATTGTGATATTCCGGCTTTGGCTTTGTTTGAATACTGTATGAATACTTCTGGCATTTCTGTCACTGGTTTTGATGTTAGTGTTGCGTTAAGAGTGATGCAAAAGATTATTTGAAATCTGATTTGAGCAGCCAGAGCATCTAGACTGAGACACATCTGGAAAAATCTGATTTAAATCCAAATGTAGTTTATTTGGATATGCTAAAAAACTGGATATTTGCTAATAGCCCGAACAAGACCATAGGTGCAGTAACCACATTAGCATATTCAGGCAACAGTATTATAAGAGGTAGGTTTTTCATACAGTTTTATATTGGAGAAGGTTGTCAGATACTTTTTTAAATTATATAATTCTTAATTGGTTTGATATTTCTGAATGTTACATATACATTTTCATTGTTTCATTAATTGTTTTACGGTCCATTTTGATTTCTTGTTAATTTTAATGTAGAACCGTGGTACTTTTCTGAAGGGAAAAAACTAAACATTTTACAATTTCCCCTAATTGGCTCAAACACCCAGAAAATAGTCCATTTACCATGTAAATGTCAGACCCAATATCCCATTTTATTCTGAAATACAGTCAGTATAGTCAAACAAATGACTCCAAACACAACATGATCCATAAATACTCAAAATGCAAGATCGTTTAGAACGTGGCAGACACGATTCCAAACAGCCATTAATTTCCTCAAATATCTGCCATCCCTCAAATGTGTTAGCGAGTGACACAATCTCGCTCTTTGGAGGTGGTCCGCTCTTGTCTGGAAAACACAGCAATCTTGATATACTATCAGAGGCTGCAGGCCAGTAATTCCCTCTCTGTCTTTGAGGGGTCCAGAGAGACTAGAACACACAAAAGCAATCATCGTGCCGCCACGCCAAGCTTGTGTTCTACTTGTGGAGGGAGGACAACAGCAGTATCACAGCCATATTTTCATGTATTTTGCCAGCATCCCTTCTCAAATTACAGCAAAGGCTGGCTTCATATGAGGGGCTGCGAGCCTGCGTGTTTGGCAGAAACTGTGAGGCTTTCATGCATATGTTCAGTATTCAGTCAGACTCTGGAGGTTTCTTTGTCCTTCATTATTCTACACTAAAAGAACATTGGTTTGGTTTTGTAGCTGCAGCAGAACATGTGAATAACCCAATTTGAGGATTTGATTAAGGCAGGATTTGAGGAAATCTGTGTTGCATTTTGCAAGCCAAAAAAAGGACTTTAAACATGTTAATAAACACTACATCAATACAAAATATACATATATATAGTAGAATTAGATTTCTACAGAGGTACTTACACATGAAGAACTGACTGCCACAATATAGGGTGTATTAGACAATTGTGGACCGTTGCCATGGCTTTACTATATGGTTGCTAGCATGTCCTGAGAGGTTGTCAGGGCATTGCTATACGGTTGCCAGGGTGTTGCTATGCAGCTGGTAATGCTAGAGTGTTTCAATTATTACTATGCAGTTGTTAGCATGCTCTGAATGGTTACCAGGGCATTGTCATGTGGTTGTCATGATGTTTTGATGGTTACTAGGGTGTTGCTGTACAGCTGGTAACACTAGAGTGTTTTAACCATGTTACTATGCAGTTGTTAGCATGTTAAGTGTTTACTAGAGTGTTGCTATGCAGTTGCCAGGGTGTTCTGGTGATTGCTAGGGTGTTGCTATGCAACTGGTAATGCGCGAGTGTTTTAACCATGTTACTAAGCAGTTGCTAGTATGTTCTGAGTGGTTACCAGGGTGTTGCTATGCAGTTGGTAAGGTGTTGTAAATTGCTTCAAAAGCAACTTTACACAATTGCTAGTGTGATGCCATTCAGAGAGGTGGTTGCTGGTGTGTTCTGGGTGGCTGCTAAGGCATGACTCTGCGGTTGCCAGGGTGTTCTGGTGGTTGCTAGAGTGTTACCATGCAGCTGGTAATGCCTAGAGTGTTTTAACCATGTTACTATGCGATTGCTAGAATGTTCTGAGTGGTTACCAGCGTGTTGCTCTGCAGCTTGTAAGGTGTTATAAGTTGCTTCTAGTGTAACTTTATATGGTTGCTAGGGTGATGCTATTCAGAGAGGTTGTTGCTAGTTTGTTCTGGTGGTTTACAGAGCATTCCAGATGATTGCCAGGACTTTAATATATGGTTGTTATGCAGTTACCAGGGTGTTTTGGTGGTTGTCAGGGTGTTGCTATGCAGCTGGTAGGAACTTTGTTACTATACAGTTGCTAGCATGTTCTAAATGGTCGCCAGGGTGTTGCTATGTGGCAGCTAGGGAGTTATGAATGGTTGTTAGTCTGTTGCTATGCAGTTGGCAAGGTGTGGCTCAGCTGATTTTAGCATTCCTTAATGTGGTTGCTAAGGTGATGCTATGCAGTTGCTAGGGTGTTCTGGGTTACTTTCAAGGCATTGTTTTACAGTTGGACGTGTTCTGAGTTCCTAGGGTGTCCTGGGTGGTTGCTAAGGTGTTGTTATGCAGTGGATAAGGCAGATTTCTTTTAGAACGCTGTTGCTAAGCATTGCATTTTAATTGTTCACCAGGTGAAAACTGTCAAGTCTGAGTAAAAGCACAGCTTTCCACAACAAGCCACACAATCTGAGGTAACATTCATGTCTATAACAGACTCTTAGCTCCTATGAGAAATAATAACAGTGGAGAACACAAAAAAATGAAATCTGTGCTTTTTTTAAACCTGATTAGAAAATGCAAGTCTTTGCACACATTGTCAGAGCTTCATAAGCATCATTCATCAACCCAGCGTCTTTTCTTTCTCTCTTTCCCTCGTGCTTTCTTCCTCCCACCCATAAGAACAATTAGCCTCTCTGCCCGCAATAACCGCACAAAGCCGATGGGGTTCACAAGCTTATGAGGTCCTTGACAAGTCACTGGACTTGAGGTAATGAAAACACACACACTGTAAATAGCTGACATCGCCCTGCATGCACCCAAAGGGCTTGCACGTATCGATTGAAAAGAGACATGGGTAAATAGGAGCCAAAGGGGTCAGAATGTTTTTTTCAACAAACCCAAGTGTGCAACAGCCCTTTCCTGATTGGACATGTTTTGGTTTAAGGGCAGAACAAACCTTCAATTGCATTTTAACGTGTTAAGAAACAAACAATGTAGTCTTTGACAAACCTTCACGTCGTTCAATCAAATCCTCTGCTGAAAAACACATGACTTAATTATGGGTATGATAGAGGCAGCCAATAAGTTTGTTATTAATTTGGTGATTATGGCTATGTTTAAATAAAATACTATGCCATATATGCTGTGCAGTGCCTAATATTAAAAAAACACTATGTGAAGCTGTATACATTACACAACAGTAGTACAATGATTTGCATACTGTGCACAGTATACATACTATATAATGCATGAACAGTAAATGTAGACAATATTGTTGAAAAGTCTGGAGTCAGTAAGATTTTTCTAAAGAAATTAAGCAATTAAAAATTGTATTCAGCAAGGACGCATTAAATTGATCAAAAGTGACAGTAAAGACAATACAAAATGTTACAAAAGATTTATATTTCAAACAAATGCTGCTGCATATCAGAAATAAATTACATTTTAAAATATATTCAAATAGAAAACGGTTATTTTAAATTATAATAATATTATACTACACATATTAAAATACTGCAGAAATAAGCATAGTATACTATTCCAAATGATCCAAATCCCATCTTTCCTTTGTGGACCCACAATTCCCTGCTACCTCTAAGGCAGTATGACTCACTTTTAAAGCATATAAACACATAAACCAGAGGGAGGAAAGAACCAACAAGTTATTAAGCAGCTTCTCCCCTGACTCATCATCTCACTTCAATATGTGTAATACACTATACACCTAAGGGACACCAACAACAGCAGCTGATTGACAGCATTAAAGACACCAATGAAGGCATTTTATGAAAAATTCAGAGAAGAACAAGCATTAAGACTAGAAGTGCAATTGCCAAACCACTCGAACGCAATAAAAACGAGTGAAGGGGAAAAAAAACCTCCACCTCTTTTCCCCAAGAACAGCGAATCACTTTCAAATGAGCAATCCAGCCCACCACGGCTTGCTAATTAGTCCCTTTAGAATGCTCCTCATGCAGATGGCAAGATGTCTGACATATTTATTTTGGTCCTTCTCGTCAAACCTCTCCTTTCTCTAGTTCTTAAACTCACCTTCGTCTGAACGGAGGCGGTAAATGCATTTAATCCTGCAGATGTAGAGTCATACAAGTTCTCCAGACTCGCTTGACCTTACTGCGTGGATGTAAGTGCGCGCATATGAAAGAAGTGGAGAGAAAACAAAATTACAGAGCCGCCCAGGTAGGTGCGTTTCCCCACAGGGCTTGAAGGAACTGGGCACGCGAGGCTCACGTCTGCCAGCTTGCCAACCGCAGGAGTGCAACTTAAGATCTAGACTGCTGGGTGAAGTGGAGAATCAAAGATGGAGAAGGTCTGAAAGGAAAGAGAGAGGGATAGAAGTGTACAGAGGAAGAACAGGGGCCTCAGGTGTAGTTATTAGTCCACAGCACTATTGATGGGCCTTGACAAGAAAGAGCCAGGAGGGGAAAACAGCCGTTTGGGCACTA